CAGAGAAGTGCTTTATGCTGGTAGCAGTCAGTGGTAATGTTTACTGTTGACTGTGTATTAATACATGACAAGCTTAACATTTTGTTGCACATAAATGGTGTGGTTTTGAGGACATTTTAAGACCTAAACTAACATTTAAAATGTTAAAAGTAGAGCAGCCACATAACATTTAGTTACCTGCAGAGATGTGTTCAGACTTCTTATGCTAGTGGTTTTTTTTTTTCCTAAAATATTCCTATTTAGTAGTGGTTTCTAGCAGTGGAAGCTTGGTCGAAACAAATCGTAGGCACAGCAACTGGTTAGATCAGGTAAGGTCTGGACTGTCTGGTGTTTTAGAAATCAGCTGTTTCCGGCATCGTGTTTATGTGTGTTCTCTGACCCTTGCTCCTGTAAGTAGGAACCTTCAGAAAAGTAGTACTGGTTTAGATGAGGAGTCTAAGTGCGTATGCGCATGTATGTGTTGAGGTAGTCCTTTTCTATAAGGCAAAAACTGAGGCAACTGCGTAAGTTTCACTTACAATACATACAGATCTCTGTTAGTTACCTCTTGACTTTGTGTTTGTCCAATAAATTAATTGCAGGCACTGCAAGCCAACATCTTCTTGATGAGTGCAAGCACTAGGAAGATACTGTACAGTGGGAATTTTGCTGATGAATGTATCTTGTGCTTTTTATCCCTTTCTGTCTGTTCATCTGTGTATCTCTTTTCTGGGTCTGACCTTACCTGTTCTCAGTGTTATCTGTTATTTTGTTACAGAGGTCATCTGAACCTCTAACTTTAAATGCATGTTAAAATTGTAGATGAATATATGTTCTTATAAAGTTCATAATGGCAGCCACTACTTAGGCAGCAGGTGGAGTTCTGAAGTAAGAAATTTGTACCTGGCCATTAAGGTGCAGATCAGAATAATGTGTTCTGACTGATAAAACCTGCTTATAGGCCACTTGTCAAAACAAAACAACAATCAAACAATCTAATTGTAGATGTTCTTGAAAAAGAAAATTTCTATTTTTAAATGTTGATTGGAAGGGAGGTACTTGTATTAGAAGTGCACAACACTTAGATCCTATATAGTTTGAGGAATCTGTTATTAAAGGCGTATTCGTTATTACAACATTTGACCAGCAAAAGCAGTGTGAGGTAGTGTATAGAAAATTCAAGTCTAATTACTAAACCATTAAATCTTTGTTTCAAAGAAGTGTAGAGGAGGAGTAAAGAGCACTTGCAATTCAAAATGAAGAATTGAAGGATTATCTCATCATGGTACACTATGCTTCAGTTATGGTCTGTCCAGAGGACTCCCTATAATGCTAATGAATGCAGTTGCTGTGTTCATGTCACTGTTTGAGTCCTTGCTTGTAATTTCATGTTACAAGCAGGCATTTGGTGGCTTGCAAGTTCAGTTCATAATACACTTGACAGTGGTCATCATATGGAGTAGCTTCAGCTTTTTCCTGGCTGAGATAGACAGTTATCTGAAATAGGTAAATGGTGCATTCCCTCTCTGATACATGCTAAGCTGGTTGTATTTGCAGGTAAGGTTTTGCTTTTCAGGATACCTGGAGAAATAGCAATGCTTGCACTTTCATTTCTTTCAGTTGATATTATTTGAACTGGCTTAATTAACTGATAGGAAATGTTACTCTCCTTATCTTGATGAACTGGTAGAAATTTAGTTTGACCACGTTTGGTTTGATTTCAGTGAATGAACATTATATCCTATATATTTTCTCTGAATTGGCAAGTTTCTGCAAATTGCAAACTGCTTTATCTGTCAGTAATTACTTTTGAAATGCTTGTTCCATTTTTGGTAAGAGTGACAATGACAGTAGCTGATACCATTTTGAGAACACTATAGTGTATTTATGTTAAATTATCATATCAAAATACTTGTACTCTTCTAAGATATGTTTGCTCTTCATCCTGAATTTTTTTTTTGAGAGCACACCTGGTACGACATTCATCATAGCATTTGATTATTTTCATCATTTTTTTAAAGATGAGATGATTAAACTAGAGTGAAAACAAATCAGAGGGGACTAAGAAAATTGTCAGTGCCAGTAGATTGGTTGTCACCTTTTGGGCACACATTTGAAGTTGTTGTAAAGTTCATGAAGTAAGAACTTCTTCAGATGGTTCGTGTGCTAATGCTAGCTCCTCATGTGGTATGGCACATGACTGAGCAATGTATGTAAGTTAAAGTTACAGGTCAGCTGATGTTGCAACTTTGTTAATTTGCCTGACAGTTAAGAAAACTTTGTACGTGGCACTGTGTCAGCTTATAGCACCAGTGGATAATTTAGTTTTGTCATGTGTGTAACATCATCTATTTTCAGTTTCGTATACCAAGGAAGAAAACAAACACCAAATCAGAGGATGCCCCAGTTCAGTCCCCTTTGGCAAGGTTCCCAGACTCCCACCATTGGGACTACCCTTTAAAAGAGGTAAAGAGAAGTTCTTTGAAGTATAAAGTCCATAGGAGAATGTTACATGGGATTTTGGTTCTGTTTTGCAGGCTGGATTTTTTCAATACTGAGTGCTGCCTTGTGATCAATATCTGACCCAAATTGTCTTGGAAAGAGACAAGTGTGTAGATCTGAAATCTGCCTGCAAGCATATAGTTACAGAACTGGAAGTCTTAGTGTTGTATTGCCAGAATAAATAATTAAAAAGCAGAGCTGGTATTCATCTGACCTGAAATTATCTTGAAAATCATGAATTTAGAAGCAAATATATATCTTTGCCTCTAACTAACAATATATATATATATTTAGGTAGTTAGCTGTCTTCTGATTCCTGAACTTTTAGGTTATATTTAGCTCACTTATCAAGCCTCTTGTTATGGTATGAAAATATTTTTTACATTGAGTTTTCAGTTAATCATTGTTTGTATCTAAGAGCTTAAACATTAAGAGAATACATGAAGTACTGTATGACATTTGATGGAATTTTAGGTAACAAATAGCTGATTTCAGTATTAAGATCAAAAGACTGTAAAAGTTTTTATATGGCATCTATCATTTATTTATCATATATGTCTTTATCATCTCAGTCACTTATGGAAGCAAATACTTGATTCTATAAATCTGTTCCAGATACAGTAAACATTTTTAAAATGCTAAGTTTTGGAAACATATTTTGTTACTCTTGACTCCTTCAGCTCAGGATTGAGAGTTTGTTGCTGGTTTTAGTGATTTCAGAATCGTGGAATAGACGAACAGGCTTCCCTACAGAAGAGTTTTAAAAACCTAGTGAGGGAAGTTAGGAATCTTTTTCATTTACAGTAGTGGTGACAATGTGACCCAGGTCTCTTGGTAGGCCTGGTCCTCTGAGCATGTTGCAATACAAACTCACTGTGTGGTTCTGTACCGTTAATATTTTAAGTGAGCAGAGCATCTGATTACAGTCAGGCTTTAAAGCTGGAAGTAAGGTCTCCTGCAGTTGCAAGGAGCAGTCTCTTAAGCAGAGCCAGATAGCACTTGCATGGAATTCTTCCTATCTTGCTCTCTGCCTCTGTAAAAGCAGCAATTAGACTTGGTGAAATGAAAAAGAAAAAAAAAATCTTTTGCCTTGTTTTGTGTATATTGTCTAATTTTCCGTTTCTTATTTTTCCTACCTGTGTCTATATATTTCAGATTTTCCCATGTAGCAGAGGGCTTTGTATGCTTTAAACACTGGCTAGTCTTACACTTTAAAAGAAAAGATTGCTCATGAAGTATCATAATTAAAATAAATATTGCTAGTTTATCCATAAAGTCTGTTCTAGTTGTATTTAGTGTTGCTAGAGTTTGTTCCATGTTGTTGGAGAGTTTTTGTGCAGATTTTAGTGATTTGGACATAGAGGTCTCTAACATTCTCAAAGATGAGTGATACGAGGTGTACTAGATAATGTTTGAAGGTGAGACGAGGCGAGAACACCTTCAAAGAATTTCTTGCTCCTAGCTGTTGTAGTAATAAGGGTATTTTACATTAGAGTCAGCTCCTGTGTGACAGGGAGAAGATTGACTTAGGATGCACCTTTCAGACCTCACTGTAAAATATGTATGGGCATGAATTTTTCAGGGCTCAAGCCCCATGCTTAAACAGAAATAAGGATAAGTTTGCTTTCAGCCTGACTGGCTTAATTTTCAAACATCTGTTTGGTTTATTATCATTCGTGTTAAAAAAAAAAAAGTGAGGAATGATTATGAAGAGGTAATGGCAGAGGCAGATAAGTTTCTGGAATTGCAGATATAATTATATGGTTTAGTGGGGCTTGACTGAATTTGAAAATGTAAGTGCATTCTGATAATGTAAGAGGATTTGGGAAAAATAAAGTCTTGCTGTTGCGGTTTTTGCCATTGAGGTACCAAATATTCAAATTGCTTTTCTTTGACCAAATTTTGTATCTTTGGAATGTAACTATTTTGGTTAACCTCTACTTTCTTTAACTCCATGCATTTATGTTGCATATTTGTCATTATGTAAAATAGGCCTAATACTTAAGTCCCTGTTTAGGATAGTTCTTGTTTAAATAGGGATGTAATTGAATTATTCTATATTGTCAAATTTCTTTAGGAGAAGAAAGTTCCATTCAAGATGAGGTGGTTATGTGGATGCTTTAAATCAATCAAACCAATTATTTCCAAAATGGTTGTATATACTTTTTGTGGCTCTGCTTTGTTTCATCAGTTGCATTGTTTCAATGTCTGGCATTGTTCCCTCTTTCTAGTGTAATACCCATTATAACATATTGGAACCTGCCAGTTTTATTTGTTTTATTTCAGTGCAAATTAAGTGCCAACAACAGAAAGTCTTACACAAAAGGAAAAAGGAAAAAGGACTGCAACAGACACAGCTTTAATGATGAAGAATTAATTGGGTAAGAAGTCATCTTAAAGTTAGTTCTTCTATGTCTATGCAGTTTCATAATCTTTCTTGAGGATGGTTATCTGCTCTCTAGGTAATTATTTGTGTCACACAGAGATGGTTGTCTCAACCTTTAGAGAATCACGTTTCAGTGATTTAATGGCAACTGTAACTTTTTCTTTGTTTTAACATAACACAAGACTGCTACGTTGGAATGTTAGTGCAACACTTACTAGAGGAATTACTGCTTGTTGACCTGCTTGGAATCCTGAAAGGTGTTTGTTACTCTCTAAGTGCAAATTATCATTCTAGCCCTAGGAATTTTGGATATTTAAGAAGTTTCCCAGATTATCTTTTGCTTGTCATTTTTTGCTCAGTAATCCAGAGTTGTTAACCTGGCTTTATCAACTCTTAAAAGCAAACAGAAAAACAACAACCCAAGCAATATGGGGAAGGCCATAAAAAGCTAGAGGTCTTTCACCTTGTTACAGTCAAGACACCTAAGTGAGTAAATAAGACTGCTGATGTGCCACTTCTTTATGCTTTGTTGCCAAGAGCAAGAATCTTGGTTTATATGAGATGGTGACAAATTACTTAAAATCACCTTCTGTGAAGCTGTCAACTCAATAATTGTTTGAGAAAATTTTGAAACCAAGTGTCAACTACATTGACAAATGGATATGAAAATGTAGAACTAGATTCATTAACAGCTAGGAAATATGACTTCATGAATAAATTAATTATATTTATCTTAATGAAGCAATTGTTATTCCACAAATCATTCAACTCTAAACAAAGAAGAGTATGCATTCTCTGCCCCATTTTCTGACTGGAAGGTAACTTGACCATACGTGACTTCTTGTCAGGAGAGGCTGTGAAAACAAACTGCACAGGTAATGAAAATACTTAATGGCAGTAAATGATTTTGACACTGATAAATTCAGTGTTCTTGTGACCTATGAATACTCATTGTTTAGCCTGATGTTTATATTCAGAATGCTTCCAGCTGTTGCAAGGAAGAGCTGAAGTTATAAAAGATTCTGAGTTTATTTTTCATACCTCCTTAGAGGCATAGCTGTTAGTTTGTGTGCTTACCTCAAAAGGTTTCTCTCAGTAACTTTGACTGAGAGAGTGGTTCAACCTAGCCAAATTTAAAAGCTATGTTAATTGAAGTTTCCTGAGTTTTAATTATGCTGTGAAATAATTGTTATTTGATACCAATCTCTAAAGGCCTTTCAGTAAGCTTTGAACTGACCTTTCAACATTGAGAAACTATTCTCTTTTTTTTTTTATTTATTTTTTAAAGTTACCTTTGTATCTGTTGCATATGTTAAGAGATGAGACTTTCAAGTAGCATTTGTAGATGTTCAATTTTTACCAAAATTCTTACCAGCACATTAGTGAGAGATGATTTAAAAAGACTGTAAACATTCAGATATTGAACCTGTGCATCTTTCATTTCCTAAAAAAAAGAGGTGTGTGCTTAGAGACTAGCTGAAGGTACTCTGTAAAATGAACTTAATCTACCACATGCAAAAAACCTAGTTCTAAGTTTTCCACTTGTGTACCCAGTGTTTCTCAGTAAGTCAAAATCAATGCACTGACCTTGTTGCATAATAAGTGGAAAGAGCACACAGGTTCTAAAGAGGTGGTGGTTGCTGAGCAAAAGTCAGAACTCACAACGCTCCTTAGAAGAGGACAGAGTGAAGTGGCATGATGAAAGTATTTCTAATGCAAAAGTTTGTGTTCCTTTTTTCATTTGCACTGAAAAGCAGTAAATAAGTCTTAATGACAACTGCTATTAGCTTCTGTTGTTTTAAAAACAATATTCTTTATTGATAGGAGATAATATCAAATGTTTAGGGAGGCATGTTTCATGTGAAATAGAGGTCAAACATTTTTCGCAAAGGGTTACAAACAGTTAATAGCTTTTAGTCCTTTGCTTTATAAGGTAGGATAATACTTGGGGTTTTTTCCCTGTGAGAAGTGATAGACTTGGCAGGAGCAGCTAATAGCATTTTTCATAATTTTTTTTCATCTGTTCCATCCTTGCGTGGGTAAGTATGTTTTCATTACCTTTGCTTAGGTATTTTTTTTCTGTTTTGTGGAGGTAGATAATAAGTGGTATGATAGGTGCTTGCTTTAGAAACCTTTGGGTTTTTTTTTTTTACCAAGATGCCTCCAGTCTTAATTTTGTGCAGTTTACTTGCTGGGTCTACTGGTGGGTCTTGCTTTTAATGTGTACTTTGCTTGCCTTTTTATCTGCTTGACACTAATTTTTATCTTTTGAAGTGTCTTCTGCATTGCTTGCTCACTTTAGTCTATGGACAATTTAACAGGTAATTCAGGGATCTGTGTCCCAACCATTGTTTACATATGTATAGGTTGATTTAAGTGTAGTTGTTTTTTCTGAATCTATTTTATGGTCAGTCTTAATGACACAAGTTTTCAAGAAATGCTGCCAGATGCCATTACCCCTTTAGAAAGGGAAACAATTGAAAGCTCTGATGCCAGTGTAAAGCTCTGAAGATCAGGTCATACCAGTTGTCCTGTCAAGGTCTTCAGTCAAAAACTGGTGCCACATAAAAAGTGATGCCTTAGCCTGGCAGTGACATAGCTAATTGTATATGGTTTTCCTTCTTGTTTGTTAAAGGTTTCTCTCCTTGCACAGATTTCCAGTGCAAAGCTAGTTGCACACATGTGTTTTCTTTGAATTCTGAGATAATTTTTACAATGATACTTGCTTAAAATGTATAAATCCATTTAAAGCAAGGGAGTGGGAAACATTACAAATTCTGTACGTAATAAAAATCAGTAAACCAAATTATGGTCAGCCCTGGAGCCTGTCAAGGTCTATCCTGATGTGAATTTGGGCAGAGAATGTCAGACCTCAGTTTCCAAGGTGGCCAACAAACTATAACTGATGAAATCCAGTTTCACTGGAAATTTTGCTTCTGACTCCTTTACCTCCTGCTTTGGGCTTTCTCTGTCATGATGGTATTGTTAAAGTCCCTACGGGTTGGAGTCTTTTTATCTTTGCAAGTCCTGATCGTGCAAATTAAAATAAAGATTCTGTAACCATGTATGTTCCCACTGGGACTAATTACCTTCCAAGTTCACTCTAAATTTAGTAAAATTTCATTATGATACCTTGTGTTTGACAAATAGAAAGAAAAAATATCTGGCATTTTTATGAGGAATAAGGAAAATGGAAATGATTTAGATTTGGAAAATAAACTGTTAGGCTCAGCATGATTCTAGGTAGGATAATGGAAATACTCCATAAAGTTTTGTTGTCTCGTGGTGCTCTACAGTAGTAATTTTAAAACATTTCTGGTTTTGCTTGGTTTCCGTTTAAGGAGAAACTTTGATTCACATCTTCATGTTAGTAGGGCCCTCTTCTGTGACCGTTTTGTATTTGGAGGAAAAATGCTATTTAAATACTTCAAAGTTTGATCTGTAATTGAGTCCTGCTTGAGAAAGAGGAGAAATATGTGGCTTAGTTTTTTATTCCTTCATCTCTTCTGATACCCCAAAAGATGAGATGTCTTTCCACTATAGTTCTTTAGTAACAACCTCTGAAGTACTTTGGGCCTTCCTTATCTTTAAGGAGAACATTAAATCAGAAGTGTAAATGTCTAGTTTCCTAAGATGAATTTGCATGACTTGGTGACTTTCACCTTGAAATAGCCTTTAACTGCTTTACTAGTTGTAAATTTTCTTAATGGCCTAATAGGTTCTTGTGTAGCTGAATTCTGAATTTTTATCACATTTGTTAAATATATCATCTTAATTTCCTTAGGTATTGCTTATATATGCCTTGTTTCTAATATACCTTACAGTTGGACAAACAAGTTATGTATATTCTGGTCACTGTAAGCACTTCTGATGTATTAAACTATGGTTAATGTATCAATTCTGAACATTTGAGAAGCCCAGAAAAGAGCTAGAACTTCTGACCCAGTGGAGACTTCTGTAGAAAGTAAGTCTCTTGCTTCCTATGCTAAATTGAGAACACTTTGCAGGCTTGGTGTATGCTCACTAGGCTGCTATGGTTGGGTTCCACCATTTAAGATATTAGTGTTACTAAACTGTCCCTCATGACCTGTATTTACTTTCTAAGCTTCTCAGTAGTTAAAGCATATCTTTAAATGAAACTCCAATCTCTGGATTCTTGAAGTGTAGGACAAACCTTTTTTAGGGGTACAATATTCAAAGTACATGCTCAGGCTCTGAGGTTCTAACAGGTTCTTAAAAACAACAGTTCCTTGTATTAGTAATCATAGAGTGTACGCAGGTCTAGGTAAAAGAAAATGCATACCTACCTTTTCCTGACTCTGCCAAAATGTTCTGGAGCACTTCTGTAGTTTAGATCAGTCTTCTAATGAGACTGTCTTTGTACGTGTGACTTCTCATTGCCTTCATAGAGTCACTTCAGAAACCCTGGATTGTTTTGTTTGGGTGGTTTTTGGGTTTTTTTTCAACAGCTAATTAGGGCCAATTGGTTATACAATGCTTTCTCCTCTGTCCAGATTCTTGGCATCTGTGTCTTTATTCAGGTTGTGTTTTTTGTTGTGGGGTTTTTTTTGGGTGGGTTTTTGGTGTGGGTTTTTTTGGTTTTTATAATCCCTCAGCATTTTGAGGCAAAGTTTTAGTTCTTTACCACTTAGTTTTTCTTTGGAAAACTTCTAAAAGAACTTAAAGAGAGTGGAGGAGGCTGCCTTCACGTAAGCTCAAGTTACTTAGCTTTGAATGGAACCATTTAATTTTATTGTCCTTTGTCTAGATAGTGGTCTCCAAGGTGTGGTGTTTGCAAGACAATCCACTGGGGTGCAGGAAGGAAATGTATTTTGCACAATTAATAGTTTACTTCATCTTTATTGCATCCTTTAAAAAAATTCTATTTGTGTTTCATAATGTACATTACTAGTACATCTATATAAAAACTGAACATATTGAAGCTACACGCTCAAAATACTTTTAATGATAGAGGTGCATGATCAAAAAAAAAACAATTTGAAGACTACTGGTCTGGGAAATGCATAGCAGAGCTCAAAGAGAAGGCAGCTAATTGCATGCATGTTAAGGCATTCGGTGATACACAGATCAGTAAGACTGATCAGCATTCATAGTTTACATGCGTGTTGTCCAAGCTATGCATAGGAACCTTGTTGTCATTTCAAGTTCAGTGAGGGGTTATGTGTCTTGTTAACGTAGTAAGTGAACAGGGAAAAGAAAACTCAACATGCAGCAACTACTGAAAGAACAAAATAAATGATTGTGAAATGTCTTCTGCCAGTTCAGTGTGTTTCACTAGTAATGCAGTTTAAGATTTTTTTATTTTTTTTCTTTTAGGTTCAAGTATATCCTGCTGTTCTCCAGCAGGTTTTATGCCATACCTATATTTGCTTACACTAGGTACCACATAACCATGCTGTTGAGCTGAATGCAGTATGTCAGTGGGACAACTGTAATTTGACAAGTTGCTTGCACTGCTTTCAATCCACTGAAGAGTAGCAACAATTTTCTTAATAAATATCACTGTAGCATACATATAAAAGCTACGTGAGTAGTAAAAGGTTTTCTGTAGCTATAAAGGAAGGATTCTTGCACTACAGCGTGAACAATTTAGTTTGTTATGCAGAGCATGCAATCGAAAAAGCAATTCTTGCCTCCATAATTTTTTTAAATCAACAAATGAGACTGAACTTCAGTGGCTGCTTAGGACCAGCTCTGGGAAAACAATTCCACGTCTCATCTGTTTGGAAAAAAACATCAATCCTGACAAATTATCTGTGATATATAATGCTTATCAGTTTATAAGGAAATATTCCAAATTACTGGTCATGCTGCACAATTAATTCTTTATGCAAAGACTTGAGTACCAACCTAGCAGTATCAGCAAAGTATAGATACTTGTTTAAAGAACTTCAATAGTGAGTTTTTATTAACTTTGTAATTCATAATTGTATGCTGTTTCTTCATCAAATTGAATAAAAATTAGTTGGAGCTTCAAAACTGAGAGATTGTACTAGCTTCTTGATTCTTCCCCAACAAGATCATTAGCTAATTTGTGATATGGGAACCAATATTATTCATTATTACAAAATAAGATGCTATAATTTGAGTCCTTGTTTCCATATCCTGCAAATGCTCAAGTGTACACATTCAGGACAGTTTGTAAGACCATAGCGACACCATTTCCAACGTTTTGCAAAAAAAAGATGCACCAAGATTTCCATGCTTCTGCACTGAAAGTTTACCTCTTCAGAATCACATATGGATGTGTTAGTCATTGGTGCCAGAAGAAAGAACCTTGGAAGGCTGTCCTGGTCAAGAGATGTGTTTGTGTTTCCTCTTCTCCAAAGAGAACTGTTTTGTAAATTGTCAGGGAAGTGAACATAATTCTGGTGAAGATACAAGGTCTGATGCAGAGACAGTTAACTCGTAGAAAAGTTTTGTTGAATCCATGTGACTTAAAAAGTTCTCAGCACCCTATTATTAATTTATTATTAAATGGCAGGCAACCCAAAGTTATCTTGACGAATGTCCTGAGGACGAAAATAGGAAGAAAATACACACAGATGCAACTTAAAACTGGTTCTATTTTTTCTGATGCTGGCAAGCTGCAGTCAGATCACCCACCCTCATCATCTGCTGCTAGCTTAAAGATATGGCAAATTTTAAACCCTACTCTCCAAAGCCTTTTTCTGTCTAAAAGGTATGTTGTCTTCACCTTGTGTCACTAAAAATAATTTTTCTTACAGTTGTTTTTTCATGAGAAAATATTCTTTGTATCACAGATGTCTTTTTCATGAACCATATTTTCATTCTCATGTCATCTGACTTGGTTCAATCCCCTTGGACCGGTTTCTTTTGATACTCACTGAGAGAGATGGTGCCAGACACGCTGTAGTGTGTTTTCTTATAAAAGGGCTTCTAGGTGGTCCTGTACTGACAAGACCAATTAATTCTGTTTCAGCCATTGAACTCTCAAATTATTTTTTAAATTTTTAGCTTGTGAAAAGAATACACTTGCATTTAACTGTCTTCTTTTTTCAGAGAAGGTATCAAAGTGTATTTTCACTGTTACTGTTTCAGACTTTTCATGAAAATAGAAAAATTGGCATAAAAGGTCAGAAAAAAAGTATATCAAGTTCCATATCTCTCCTTTTCCCCTCCACACAGTGGCCAATTGCAGATACCCAGGGAAAAGCATGGCTATTGTGAATGAGGTTTTTTCTCTGAGCTTCTGATGGTAACAGTTCAAGGCCTTCCTCTATTGGAGGTTACATCCAGACTACAGTAGTGTTCTATATTAGACCTTTCCTCTCAACCTTATATATCCTCAGTGGTTATCACCTATCACCTGTGTGCCTCTGCAGCATCTTGTCTGTAGGATTGTCTCTTGATTTAAAGCAAATTTACGTCTTGGTGCAAGAGGAGATCCAAATGCTCCCCAGATGCCACACAGTCTGCTGGAGTGTGCTTTGTGTATGAATACACGCAACAGAAGAATTACACATTCAATACCCAAAAGACAGTTCTGTTTACAACAGATTCAAAAAAGGCCGTAACATTACATCCTAATGCAAAGTAAATTGCAGTGAAAGTGGTAGAATTTAAACCACAGTATGAGAAACTAAGTGGGTAAATCAAGAGATATACAACAAACTGGTTGCTGTGGCATTGTATAAAGTAAGTTGTGCTGCTATTACATATGTGTGCTCAAGTGGGCAGTTGCATCTTCATATTTCTGATTAACTTGTTGATGGTTGTCTCCTCTAACACTTGCTTGTTTTTCTGATCATTGCTATTGCTATACTGTAGAATGCAACCTGAAAGTTGAAGAAGGGAACAAAATCTAGTGCTACCTTTTTGTGTAGTGCTTGAGAAAATTCAGTGTATTTTACTGGAGACTTCTTGTTCAGAGGAAAATCAAGATTGTTTGCTCCATAGTTGTAAGAAATGTGTATAGATATTGCATGAAAGCTATTTAGAGATAAACATTTGTCAGTTTTTAAACAATACTTAGATGATGTGTTAGAGATTGTGCAGTGTGAATTGTACCTGGCTAAGGTGAAATTATATGGCTAGCTTTTCTTACCCTGGTCTCTTGTTGCCTTTTTTTTTTTTTTTTTTTGTGTTTATCTGCTTACCTTGGATTTAAGTTCCTTGGTGGGATTTTGTTCTGTCTCTAAGGGACTGCAAGTAATGATGTTTGATTACCAAGTTTCTTTCTCTAGATTACAGTGGAGTATTTATGATTTACTGTTATATATGTGGCAGGCAACCCAAAGTTATCTTGACGAATGTCCTGAGGACGAAAATTGGAAGAAAATACATTGACAGCCATGTAATAATTGATGCAAATTTATCTGCTGCTGATAAATTACAATCGGGTCAACTACCCTCATCATCTGTTGCCAGCCTACAGACATGTCAAATATTAAATTCTCCTCATGAAAGTTCTTTTCTGTCTGAAAGGTATGTTACTACTGATTTTGCCAGTCTTCCTGAAATGACATAACTTCCCAATGGAAAAGAATTTCCCTGAAACAATTCTTGTTAAATGCTTGTCTTGAAGCATGAGATCAATTTCCTGAATGCAAGCTAACAGCTAACATGCTGCTCCAATGAGCCATTTTAACACTGCATTTGTTCTGATTTGCTGTACTTGATGTTAATAGTCTAATTCTCTTGTAAATAATTCCTGTTTACAATAGATCAGTGTTTTGATCTGTGGAGCTGGCCAAGTAATTCAAATGCATTTAAGCTGGTTTTGTGTCCAGAACCAAAATCTTCCTTTCCTGTTGCTGTTAATGTGTTCTAGCATGATTTCAAATAACTTCTTTTGCAAAATTTCCACATATTCCTTTCTGTGATAGTTTATTTTCACATTGATCCACCAAAGGTCTCAATCCCAGAGAGCCATTGTTTAAGGGCTGTGTGTCCTTTCATTGCTTAACATCTACTTTTCCTCTTTTCTTCCTATGTTTAGGTTGATTGAGCATCACAGTAAGGCTTGACGTATAAAACTAGCAGAAATCAGATATTAGAATTATATAATGCTTATTTTGGTCTAAGATGGCAGTTGAATTCAGAGTAAGCTGTTTCCTCTTGTCTTTTATAGCTGCCTCTTGCTCAACAGCAAAGTATCCACAGGAACAAATAGGAAGAAATTTGAGGGAAGAAAATAGGAAGAGGAAGGAAAGGAAGAATTATTTGTGAGGGCAGGAGTAATCAACAGATGTTGGGTTAAAGAAATCTTAAAAATTCTTGAGAAAAGCAAGTCATATTCCTCATTCTGGTACATGAATGTCTTAGAGGACCTAAATTAGTGACAATTCCTTTCCTTCCCCTCCCCCCCCGCCCCGTTGGAATCCCCATTGCTGCTTAAATTAATCTGACAAAGATGCAATTTAAATGAGGGATTTAGAACAGTTCATTAGACTGTCTCATTTTAGAAATTTTACATTTGTTGCTAATAAATGTTTCTCCATAACTTTAGGCTGACTGAAGTGGGAGGAATTTGTTTGAATTGTGGGTTTTGGTGGTTTTGTTTGCTTGGTTGGTTTTGTTTGTTTGTTTGTTTCTATTTGGTTTTGGTTGTTTTTCTTTACTGCAAAATCTTTAAGATATATAATTTTAATAACCAACTTTTCCACTTGGTGTTGTTCTGGATTATGGGAGGTAGTGGGTTGTTTGAGAGGAAAACATGAACTCATGTATGTAGCTCTCTAAATCTGAGGAAACGTTGCATGTTTTTTGAAACTCATATCTAAAGGTTGTTGTTGAGTTTTATGTTAAGCACAAGAATGGTTTGAACTAGTCAATTAGTTAATTTTTTTAGCAGTTGATATACTGTCAACTTGCTTTAGATTGAGTAGTTTATTGTTTGAAGGATTAATGTGTTGTTCCTCTGCTTTTCTAGTGTATTAAGTAAACATTTTGGTATTAGTAGGATTTTCCACCCATCCCCACTGACCAGCACATTACTGCAAGTTACAATAGATACCATATAAGAAATGGAGAATTTAGGAATAGTTTCAACAAAGACATGACTTGATCCTGGTCACCTGTCTGTAACTAAGGTCTTGGCACTGATTCTTTTGGTATCTCTTCTTTCAGAGGAGAATAAAAGCTTCCTCTTATAAGCATTATGCAGATGTATGCACATGGCCATACAGAGTTTCTTCTGTATCGTCACAGTAGCTACAGTGCACACTCTGTTTTATTGAAAATTGTGCCACTTTAGCACTATGGAATTTAAGATTAAAGAATTGAAAAATTGTGTGTGATTAGAACAGGGTGATAATAATTTAGTCTTTCTCTGTCCACTAGAACTTGCAGTAAGTTCCCCATTTCCTTTTCTGCTTTTGGTATTACAGAATTGAATTTTGCATTGCTAGCTCATTTCAACTGAGTGTGAAATGCATTTAAGTCACCACTGACTTATCAGTATAACTAATAAATTTGAGGTAGGCTTTAAGTAAAGAAACTTAGTGGTTTAAGGTGTTGTTTCTCATGGCTGTTAAGAACACTTCAGTAAATAATGACCTAGATTCTTAGGTTATACGTATGTCTGTTAAGTGCATTTTAAACTGAGTTATCAGCAAAGATAAGAAGTGGAAATAAAATGTGCAGAATTTGTGTATAGAGTTAATATATTCAAGGAAGTCTATTAGCTGAAACATTCTTACTGAAATGTTTCCTACTGCTGAAATGCCTGAATTGTGATGTTGGTGTAAAACAAATGCTAAAAAACACGTAATGGTTTTGTATGGCCTTTTAAGGTAGTAAAATCTAGATAGCTGTTATATGTACAAATATGCAAGTAGAGAGATGTGGGTTCAAAAATCCAGTTTTCTGTAGTGAGGTTATTTCAGAACTAGAGCTGCCTGATCTATGGAAGACTGTGACTTGCTCGATATACAGAATGAATGATAACACTTACCAAACACTTGTTCCATATTTGGGCCAATTAATGATTCTTCAGTTAATGATTCTTTGGTAATTTCTTCATGATTCTTACATACTGCTCACTACTGTGGTGTCAGAACACTGTATTTGATTGGAATTAGATTTTATTTGTCTTTACAGTATTGCCAAAGAGCACTGATACTCTCATCTACAGGTATGGCTCTGAAGAACAGGCATCTGTTCAGGAAGTGTCCAACAGTTTTGGCTGTCTAGGTTGAGATGTCAAGAATGTTCTTTCCCATAGTCAGTGATGTTCTTCATGAGTCCAAGCTCAGCTGTCAGTGATTTCAGTCATCATGATGATTGCTTATCTCTTTGCAAATTAGAGACTGCAAGATTCTGAGTTAGGCACATTATAAAACAAAACAATGAACGCAACCTCTCTTTAAGTGAGGTGACAAAAGGAAGAATGCAGAGCAGCATTAAATTGCTTTATCTGTGAAATCTTTATTTTCTTTTTCATTTCCCAAGTCTCACAGAAAATGAAGCAGAGTTCACAAGGGTTAGTTTCTTTTATCTTGAAACCTTGATAAATTTTCAGAAATCTTGCATACTGAATGTAATTAAGTTAATGTGAGAAAATACCACATAAACATACAACTGTTAACCTAACGCATACTCTAGAAACTAAAAATCCCATTATGTAGACTTTTGTCAGCTCTAACTAGCCTCCAGAGAAATTAAGAGTATGTTTACAAGATCAGGCCTCAAATGTGAGGATGTCATACTGTACGGTTGATCAGTATCTCCTGAATATCACAGAATGGTTTGGGTTGGAAGGGACCTTAAAGATCATCTAGTTCCAAAACCCCTTCCACAGGCAGGGACACCTTCCACTGGACCAGGTTGTTCAAAGCCTTGTCCAGTTAGTATTCTTTACAGGTATATTCTCTTATTCATTTGAAAAAAAAAAAAAAAAAAGGCAGCTAATAAATAACACACACCCCCCCCCCCCCCCCCAACTGATTACTTTCTTGCATATCATTCTTTTTAGAATAAAACTACAAGTTCAACTAGATACCTGTAGGTTGCCTTGTTTCTGTTACTAAAATAATTTTCTGTTTCTTCCTCATTCATGTCCTGTCCCTGTCTTCCCTGCCCCCCCCCTTCTTTAAAGTTACTGTTTCAGGCCCTTACGATCAGGAATTTCTATTTAAAATCATTTCTCATTGCAGGAACTTACTCAATGGATTCTATTAGCCATTCTAAATCTAAGTTAAAAATACACTACATTGCCTCATTCCCATTGTATTAATGACTCAACTGACTTTGTTCTCTCTTTTTTCCTTGTTATGTGTTCTTGTTGCATCATGCTTTACAGAATAATATTTCAGTGTCTGATGTTAGGCATGTCAGATTTTCATGCTTTGCATCTTTCAGAAACATCCATTTCATTAATAATGTTAGAGTGTCTATATTTCTGCAATGGGTACTGAATTGGTTTGTCCTTCATTTGCCAAGCTCCACATAGTTACAAGAAAGACAGAAGTTTGTGGTCTAACTAACTCTTGTTTCTGTTGGGATTTTTATTCAGTATTCTTTCAAAATTAAAGATAAGTCATAGCCAATATTCTTTGCAGGTCTGAACGTTGCCTGAGGAAGACAGATGATGATCTCTGTGATGATCTCTGTAAATTGACCAAGGCTTCTAAGGAATCAGAAAAAAATAGCACCCTCACTTATAGAAGACGGGAACTGAAGAAAAAAGGTTTGTAGTGAGCAATAATCTGACATTTAAATATTAATTTTGAAGAGTGTTAGAAAATTTTCTTTTTTTTTTTTCTGGTCTAGTATTATGAGGAGAGCACAGAAATAAAATCATAGAATCATAGAATAGTTAGGGTTGAAAGGGACCTTAAGATCATCTAGTTCCAACCCCCCTGCCATGAGCAGGGACACCTTGCACTAAACTATGTCACCCAAGGCTCTGTCCAGCCTGGCCTTAAACGCCTCCAGGG